TGCAGCAGTCTAAATCCGGTTATAGGAAAACGAAAAGCGCCGTTAACAGTTTTGAAAGTAATTTACAAAAGCTCTAAATTATCGGAAGAAACTTTTGTCACCCCAATCTCCCCCCACCTCCGTCGCTCCCTCCCAGGAGTCCATCCTGGATCCGCCTATGCACAGTGCCTGCCAATTCTGTATGAAAAGTTTAACGCCTGAAAAGCATGCGGGGAACACAGATGTAATTTAGTGCACAAATCCGATCTTGACAAGACCGAAATTGCTGGGCGCTCACCGCGTATCGTGCTCGTAATCCCATTCTAGTTCGTTGCCCGTTTCGTCAAAAATATTCAAGCCAGGACGTATCCGATCTCTCCGACACATCCACTTGTATGAAAAACCGTCTGGAAATTTGAAAACTGATTTGTGTGCAGAGAAAAACACAACTCAGTAAATGAAAGGAATATGTGAATGCACCGGTTCCTCAGCAGTGTGCTGCTGTAATTGACAATACTTCTTAAATTAGATGCATTTCATATGCTTAAAAGGTAAACAGAAATAGGAAGCAGCCGGAGCCTCACCTGGGCGCTGAATATCTGTGGAGCTGAACCCGCGCGCACTCCAGAGATCCGTGCGACGCTTAAAGAATCAAACATTATGAAAATTTGTTAGAACAACAGTGTCCTTTCATGACCATATGAGGAAATAGCTCCTCCTAGCCATACAAGCATTTTTTGCAGCCAAATAAGTAACAAAAATTCCAGTAAGATGAGCGGCGTGCAGGTTATTATGACGAACAAACGAGGAAGTAAAATCCGACAGGCACGGCATGTTGCTCGTCTTTGCTGTATGTCGCATATGAGTAAGGGGTAACCACGAAAAGGTAAATGACCAGTCAGGTCACCCCTGAAGAAAAGGCGCACATACATCGAGCGAGTGCGATGAGTACCCTTTCCAACATACTTTCTTTTGCTTTAAAGTATTCTCTGGCTCGTTTGGCCATCACCGCACAATTCTGGAGCACACTGAAACTTTCAAGCCATTCTACGCCTGACTGGATCATTATCCAGAAACAACTGAATAAATTTCCCAGACGATTTCTTTACCACCAAGCCATGACCGTGCATTAAGGGTCATTGACAAAAGCAGTTTCTTGAAACACATGAACAAAATTACACTGGATCACATACTTTCCCAGAACGGTCCTTTTGTGTGAATCGTAGTATAATCAGTCGTTTGCGTCCAACATGCTTTGTCAGTACTCTCCACTTGCCTGTAAGAACAAACTTAATCGAAAGCATAGCGGCCGCCGGTACGAGGAAGCGTTTTTTGCACAGTTTCCCCGTAGGTTTTTTTCGCCAATGGCACGTCCTTTTTTAGCTAAAAGAATTGGGACTGGTCACCACGACTGTTAGAAATTATTACAATGACTCCCAATCCATGCCTAAAAAATTCAGCGCCCTGGATGCTTCGGCTGCGGAGTTACGTCAAATTTCACGTGTTCATGTGTGAGTGGCAACGTGAATGGTTTCTTCACCTGCGGTTGCTCAAATAAGGTCCTGAGCAGCGCTCAGAAACTTTCAGCACTCAAGCCGCTCCGGTTGCAGAGTTACGTCAAATTTAACGTGCTCGTGAGTGGCAACGTGAATGCTTTCTTCGCCCGTGGTTGCTCAAACACGGTGCTGGGTAACGTTCAGAAAGTTTCAGCACATCAGCTGGATCTCGAGATGAAAACTCGTTACAGACGCACGAACAGACAGACAGACACATACATACATACATACACACATACACACAAACATACATACACACATACATACATACATACATACATACATACATACATACATACATGCATACATACACATACACAAATACATACATATATACAACCACAGGTTGTGGAGTTACGTCAAATTTCACGTGTGTACACGTGAAACGTACGTGAGACGTGGAAGTGATGTGTAGG